TACACAGTTGATTCTGTGTTTTGGAAACATACATTATGAAAAACTACTTTAAATATTTTCAACCTGACCTTAAATAGTCTCTTTAAAGTGGGGGGGATAAGTCAACATAATATAGTACTGGAGAATGTATGCTGAAGTACAGGAATACGTGGCATTTTCACCAAAGTTAGGGGACTGAGATCTAAAACAAGGAGGGCAAGAGAAAACATTACTTTGCAGATCCTAAAAGTTCATAAATAACATCTTCAGGCTATTCATTCAGCAAACATGAGACACCGAGATGGAACAGAGATAAAGAGAGCACACTCAGGTGCTCTCAGCCCTTATCGAGGTACAGACTGCGCTCCAAGCCCAAATCTGGCCCAGTGTCTATTCAGTAAGCGGAGTTCCACTGGCAACAGCCCCTACCCACTGCTGACGCACTGTGCATGGCTGCTCACAGTAAAACAGCAAAGTTGAGAAGCAGCAACAGGATTGTACAGCCTGCCAAGACTAAAGGAGGCTGCCTACCCTTGATACAGAGCAGAGATAAGCCTGTAGAAAATATTATTTTCTAAGGGAAAGAGTAGTATCTTAGGAGACTGCAGCAAGTTTAACACAGAAGGTGGTGAGTTTAAGAAAAATATCAGCCATAACGGCACAGGGTGGGAACACTATCTGAAGACAACGAGAACAAATACAGCTCTTTTGGTATACAGGCTATGGAAGGCGTGGCAAGTGAGAGAATGGCAGAGAATAAGACCAATGAAACAAGGTGAAGCTGCCTCCTCAGGGTTCAACTCCATACTACTATTAACTGAAGAGTAAGGACTTAACAAAAACAGTTAAAATACTAAGGTTTATGAATGAGCTAAGATTTTTGAAATTAGAGTAGCTTCCAGGTTAAATTTTTTTATTGATTTGTATTGACATGGTTTTTCTGAAGGACAGAAAAGAGTGAAATTATAGACAGCCAAAGGCAGAACTGTGGAGAATCTTGAGGATTCAAATGGATATGCTATCCATCTGAGTATCATGCAATTATGCTGTCCCAGGAGGGAAGACAGATTTAGCTGCAGGAAATAGGAAGAAGATGGAAAAAGGTATCACAAGGGAATGTGATGAGCCAACACGGGTTTTAGGAAGCCCAACTCCAGAGACCTGAGAAGGGCAGAGACCCTCCAAAGGAAGAAGTCTGTGAACGGCCACCTCGGTGGTAAGAAAGGCGATGTGTACGACCGAAAGAAGTACAAAGGAAGGAGGCAGGTCGACTGTGTGCAAGGAGGCAGGTCAGGCCACAAGCAAGAATCTCTTCAGTAGGCAACTGTGTGGGAAGAGGAAATTTAGCACTGGCAGTGGTTGAAATTATAGGAATGGATGAAATTTTTCTTCAGGGGTAAGTAGCGTATGTGGTGAAGAAAAAAATACACAACAGAAAAGACAGCAAAACTTCACATTCAACAGGCAGGAGAGGAACGAGGGAAAGAGATCAATGTGATGCCACAGAGGACAGGAGCCGTTCGAACAGCTCCTCAGAGAGGAAGTGCCCAGCTGCTTCGACGGCTTCCTTAGGTCTTCTAGTGACAAAGTGCAGGAGAGCGCGTGGAGAGAGACAGCAACCCCGTGTCTGCCCACTGAATGAAAGGCCACGCGCTATTAGGGCTTAAGAAGAAAGGCTCTGAATTCAGAGGGACCTGGGCTGCAATCCCAGCTCTGCTATCTGGGCGAGTTAAACTTTCTAAGCTTCAGTTTTCAATGGACAGGTTGAACATCCCTACTCCAAAAATCCAAAATCTGACACTTTCTTGGCACGAACAGGACACCGAAAGTGGGAAATCCCACATTTGACTTCACACAAAGAGTTGCACTTAAAAGGCAAGTGTGTTAGCCTTCAGGCTATAGGTACAAGATATACCTTAAACAGAAATCAATTCTGTGGTGTGACTCGGTTTCCACCTCTATTATATCATCATAGTTATGTAAATACTACAAATCTGACCCCCTCCAAAAAACCAAACTCCGGAGCATTTCTCATCCCAAGCATTTTGGATAGAAGATACTGAATCCGTAAAAGTACTTAATGTTTCACAGGAGCGTGGTAAAGAATAAATGAGATAATGCGAAGTACTTGCAAAAGTGCTGGCACACAGGATGTAACGGAATGGTGGCAGGTTTGTTAAAATCATTGTGCCAGAAAGGAAAAGTGAATCATTGTGGATAGTTCCCAAAACTCTGCTGCTAGAGCCAAAAGGGCGAACTGTTAAATATTGAGAAGGACCAAAACATGATCCTACTTTTATTAAGAATACAGCACAAAGGGGCTGGGGATTTAGCTTAGTGGTTCCGCAGGCCTTGCAAGCGCAAGGACCCGAGTTTGATCCCTGTACCAAAAAAAAAAAAAGAAAAGTACATCTTAAGTGGAACCTGTGTGAGATTATATATCACTATAAAGATGGGAAATAAAATATAATAAAACAAAATATAACTGGGTCTTTAGCTTGAGAAAAATAAAATTAAGGGACATGGTAAAAGGCTATACGAAAGTTTTCTAGTACTGTCCAGAGAAATAGAACCGACCAGCAGATGGAGCCCTCTGGCATGTGTTGGTAGGCTAAACTTCACAGGAAGATAACTTCAGGATGTCTGAATTTCACTTCTTAAAGACATTTAAAACCTTGTTTTAATCACAAGATAACTTTATTAGGAGTAAGGCTTCCAACACACCTCAACACTGACACTGATATTTTGACTACTCTACAGAGAGTCTAGAATATAGACCAGAGTTCTCTAGTATTTTTGGTAATTCTCGTTTTGAAGCTGGATAGTATAAAGTGAGTGATCTGATTTTGAAATACTCTTGGGAAATCCGCAAGGGCACAAAACCAGGTCTTGGGTCATGAAGCACCCCTGTGAAATACAGCTCAAGTTCACTTACTGCAGCTCTGGATGCCTATTTTCCGACCTGTGGTCACTATGGTGAAGTCAAATCAAGCTTCTGTGAAAAATCCCAAACATTTCACCCTTAGATGAATGATTAGTTAGAAAGACAAAACCACTAGGCCATAAAAAACCAGCAAAGATGAGAGGCAAAGTTTAATAGTGTTACTGTATAAATAAGAACCATATCTACCTGTCTCTACACGCTTACAGAAATACTCAACAATAAGGTAATCACAAGATTCCAGTAAGCGAACTGTCAAATCTGTTTATGGATTAAAAGAAACAGGACTGATATCATCATTCTGTGGTTTTAGATGACAGCAGCCACAACCCAACAACAGGATTTGTTCAAGGCGTTTTGCCAAACCTGGTGTGGCGGTGAATGCCTGTAATTCCAGGTCTCTGGGAGCTGCAGGCAGGAGGATGGTAAATTCAAGCTCAGCTTGGGGAATCAGTGACTTGGCGTGGCCCTGCATCAAAAAAAAAAAAAAAAAAAGGGCTGCTCAGTGGAAGGGTTGGGTTCAAGGCCCAGTACCACCACAAAAAAAAAAAATTTTGCTAAAAATCAGTAGAGATCCAACTATTAAGTGTCTATGACCTACCTACACCCACAACTCACACTGGTCACCTGACTTCCTCGGTGGTACTTCCCTGTCTTTCTGGCCTTTGGCTCATAGCTTCCCTATGCTGCCAAGCTCAGGATGTAGATTCCACAACTTCAATGCTACACTCTAAGGAAACAGGTTATAAAAATCACTGTGAAATACCGCCCCCCCCCGACACCATATAACGTAGCTCAACATCAAACAATTTTTTTTGCTTACTCATTTAGAAGATAGAACCTCTTTTTTGTAGGAGTTAGAATTTAATACCCTATCGTGCAACTACGTATATAATAAAGCCAACGATTGTGCTGCATTAGTCCTTAGGCAGGGTAACCACAGAGGTGCAAAAACAACACGAGCCAATTAGAGAATGACGTGATAACAAAATAAAACAGCTTCCATGCCCTTTTAGTAACAGGATACACACCAGGGAAAACCAAGTACTAAAGGAGGCACAAAATCTCTACGTCCTTACATTTCCACTCCAGGTACGATCACTGAGGCGACACAATGTCTGATGAATGAATAGGGAATCACATTATATAAGATTGTCATCACCAAAGACTCAAATTATAAATCATTTGGTTTCAGTTAGCTTATGCTTAAGTGAAAGATGCTGAAAACTCAGAGTATGCTTCAGAAAGTCCAGTGGTCTTACTCCTTACACAAAGTGGCTTAGTTCAGATTTTCAATTCCAGGTCTGAATTCCTGGGAGAGACTTAATAACAACAAAACCAACTCCAAAGGGATCTGCCCCAGTTTCTCAATACTCTAAGAAACAAAAACTGGAATAATTATGAAACTTCACTATTTTGTAGATGCTGTGGATAGAAAAACCCTGGTACATATCAATTTTACTCAAGAGAAATAAGGTTTAGACTTTGCTTTACCCTAGAATCTGGGGTAGCAATCATGGCATGGAATACTCCTCTCCAAATGACCAAAAAAAAAAAAAAATTATATGAAAGAACGACATACTTTAGTTACGGGCACCAGCACTCCGAGTGCCCAGTGGAAATTCATTAATTTGGCAACTTTCTGTAATATCAAAGGCTTGGCGCGTAGCGACTTATTTTGCTCCAGCAAGCAAATGTCTTCTGCTTAAAATCAACTTTGGGGCCAGACTCTCACCTGCTCTGTCAAGGCTAAGGACGACAAAAATGCATAAATGCGAGCCCGGACATTACAGCCAAGCTCGGGGCAGGGTGTGTCCAGCTCGTGGCAGAACCCATCCTACCGCCGAGCCTCCTGAGATGACGTCTCCCGCGACACCTTCCCCGCGTGTCAGGTACCCGCAGGGAGCTACTCAGGGGTGGCAGGCACGGCCCAGCCGACAGGCCCAGCGACCGGCCCCATCAGGGCCTCCACGAAGCCCCTCCACTCGTGGGACGGCCGGGTCGGCGCAGCTCTCGGATGCCCACCCAGCCGCCGGGGGACATGGGGGACCCACCCGGGCGGCGCCCCGGCCAGGCTTACCCTCCCCCGCCTGCGCGCTGCAGCCGCCCCGCTTCCTTGCGGAGCAGCCCGCAGCACTGCGTCCAGCAGCAGTTCCCCATCGCATGCCGCCCGGCGCCGCCGCCTCCGCTCGGAGCCCACGCGCAGGCCCCCAGCCGCATGGACCGGGCGCCGGCCGAGCGCCGGGCACCGCAGGGACGCGCGCTCCGAACAAAGGCGGCGCTACTCCAGCGGTTGCCGGGCCGCCGCCGCTCGAGGGACGTGCGCCGGGCCGCGGGGCTGGGCCTCCGCCGCCGTCCGCATGGCAGTCCCGAGCCGGCCGGGTCCCGCGCGAACGACCGCCTCCAGCCGCCGCGGGAGGCCCGACCCCGCGAGTCCTCGCCCAGGCCCGCCTTCCCACGCGCGCAGGCCGGCGCCGCTCCCGGGCCCCGATTGGCCAACCGGCCTCCACGGCCCGCCTCTTCCGGGGAACGGTCCTACGCCACTTCCGTCCGCTCTGGGTCCAGAACTTTGGCCTCAAAGCCCGCTTGGCGTGTGGGTGTGGGTGTTGCTGTGGCTGGGCTTTGGTCCGACTAGGAGTTTTCCGTCTTTCCTGGCAGTTTACAGCCTTGCGATTCCGAGCACACCCGGAGTCGAGTGATCAAGGCTTGGTCTTCGGACTTTGTACCGAAAGCCTGTGAGAGGCTTATGGTGGGGCCGGGACCGGACGGCGAGGCAGGTGAGCGGCGCCTGCTCTGCGGCCGGGCTCGGGGTGGCGTGGGAGGAGCCGGGGGCCGCGGGCAGCGGCCGGCCTCCCTGCTCCCCGCGCCCCGGAGAAACTTACTCATGCTGCATCGCTGGCCAGGCCTCGTTTGGATCAAATAAGCCTTCAGTCATTTCGGGGGAGGGCCGGGATCCCGGGAAAGTGGGCAAGAGCACAGCCGGCCTCGTCGGCATCTGCTGTGGACAGGAACGGAAGCGTCCTGGTGTGCGGCCCCTTCCCCAAGTGGCCTCAGATGTCAGATTTTCGGCAGCCACGGCTTAGTAAACGCCTAGCCCAGTGGTTAAGATGCTCGGTGACCAATCAAACTCTTCAAAAGAAAAAACCCGCCGCCTGCCTCGCAAGCGCAAGGTCCAGAGTTCGATCCCCGGTACCAAAGGGGGAAAAATAGCCTGTTTTCATTAATCCTAATGAAATTATTGTATTTTCAAAAATTGTTATTAATAAAGTGTTCTTCGAACTACTCATTTTCTTGGTTCTTGAAATCTAGACCAACCAGGGTTTGGGCATTAGCATTGGTACTTAACTATTCTCATTTGAGTCTTTTGTAATGAAGGACATAGAATAATATTGGCCGGTGTTCTGCTCTCGGTGAATGATTGATTTTCTAAATACTGACTACTTCTTTCCCCCTTTCAGTCCCTCCATACCGCTGACCAATGGAATACTACCCATCAATAAAAAGGAATACTCTGTTGGCTAATACGCCTTGAATCCAAAGGAAGTAATGGGGAATGAAAAAGCCCACCTCAGAAGCTTACATGTTGTATAATTCTATTTATGTAACATTTTAGAAATGATAGAATTACAGAAGTGGAGAGCAGACAGCATGGGCAGGGGATCCTTAGGTGGTGGAAAGCCTGTCTTGGCTGTTAGTGTCAGTGCAGGGGTTGTGATAAGGTGCTACAGTTTTCGAGATACTAAATAAAAAGCTTGATTTAAGTAAGCTGTAGACTTGACTTCATTGAGTGTTTCTATGGGCATTCTTACAACCTTTATGAAAAGTAAATCTCAGTAAAAAAAGAAATTTCAGAAGTAAATCTGATCTCAGTTAAGGATATGAATGAACTTTAGACTCAATACAAATGACTAAAACATTTAAAAAATTGACTTCAGCAAGCAAAAGAACACAAAACAAGGATGAGTCATCGTTCACTTGTAAAGTTAATAAAGATTTACAAATCCTCAGTATTTGCTGTGAAATGGCGCTGACCTAAACTGCTGCAGGAAGGGAAACTCATTCTAAAAAAATCACTTGAAAATATTTCAAGAGTCAGAAACAAACTAAATACTTAACAATGGAAGGATGGTTAAATTTTCTGGTATATTCTTATGTGGCCGTCAGAAATATTTTTTGAAAGATAGAAAGCATTTTCTGAACAGTTTGTGAAAAAATCAGAGTAGAAAATTATATATGTATATTTCAAATTTTTTAAATTTCTGTTCTCAAATCCATTTATTTCTTGATAGTCTTTTACTTCACATTTATATAACTAAATGGCCCATATGGGTGGTTTTCCAAGAAAATAGCCACAAACATTTGTTGAATAATAAAAGACAGAAATAACGTAAATCTTGGCTCAATTGCAGCAACTCATTCTCCTGGATTTGGGCATGGTGAGTTTCTAGTTGGCTAGTATCACCCCACGTGATGTATAGGAAGTGATAATCTGAAACCTAACATTCGCATTCACAAGGAGGTTACTAGGAACAGCTACAGGATTGATACGGAGTGCACCCATGGGCTGGGTTTGCTCCAAATCTCCCATGCCAAGTCGAAACCACATCACCAACTCCAACAGGGACAGTTTAACAAAAGGAATCACGAATTAGGTTCGGGTGGTTTCTGTCAGCAGGAGATGCCAAGGTCAAACAGATGTGGCTACTGCAGGGAGCAGCTGCCATCCCTGAAACTGAACAAAAGTGAACAAGGACAACTTGGAAATACAGAGGAAGAGCCTTCAAGGAAGTCATCTGAACTGAGTGCATGGATGCCATAGAAAGCTGCTTTCTCCCACTGTGATAGTGGAGAAGGCCATAATGGAAGATGCCTAGTTTGACCCCCCTCCCCATGGGCTGGAGGGTGCTCATCACTGAAGCAGGGCCTTGGGCCACTGAGGTGGGCACCCCAGGACTCCTTGCTGAACCACTTGCTACCATGTGAACAAAACAGTGGAAAAGAATGCCAGTTCTCCCATAATTAAAATATCCCTGCAGCACCCTCTATGGAAGATCCTAACAATATACCTACAGTACCTTACAGGAAGCAACCAGTTAAAGGCAGTCTTCAGGGGCTGGGGATTTAGCTCAGTGGTGCTGCCACCAGCCTCCCAAGCACCATCCCTGAGTTCCATCCCTGGTACAGAAAGAAAAGAAAAGAAAGGTAGTCTGCAGGGCCCAGTTCTGATGCCAAATATCAGGGCAAAAAAGCATGGGTAAGAAGTAGCACAGGTTGTAGCATCCTCTTAGGGACAGAGACAAAGCCAGGGACCCGCACAAGGGAAGGAGTGAAGACAACACTATAAAAGCCAGAACATTTTAGAGGATTTCACTCAGCTTTAAGGGACTGGTGAGAGACAGAAAATAAATAAATAAATAAAAGCTCCTCACTGCACAGAGAGGCAAAAAAGGAAGTTTGTTAATAATACTATGATCTGGGTGAGGAAAAAAACCCTATTTTCTTTCCAGTTGAGGAGGTGGAATTTATATTAACCTCAGAGTCTCAGAACCCTGGGCAAGAAATTAACATAAAAAGTGGTTTGGATGCAGTGATGTCCTTGAGATTCTTGGGAAGAACAAATGCTTTTGGGGAAGAGATATCCTCTATCTAAGTTGCACAGGATATTAAATTGCACTGATGATGAGCCTGCAATCACATACTTCAAAATGCCATGACTATTGACAGTATGGAACAACTATGAAATAACATGAATTTTGTAGCATAAATAGAGTAAAGCAATCAGCATGTTTACAGTAATGTCATAAAAAAGAAAGCAAAGAAACAAACTGGCAATTAAGACCAAGCTAATAGAAATGAAAAGCAAAGCATTGCAATTAAACAATGGAGAAATTTCTGCTTTGAGCTCTTATGTGGGACATGAGACACATGGTAGCAACAAGACAACCCCACAAAATTAAAATCATATTTTTCTATGAAATCAGTGAGGAGTAATGGACCACAGAAGGCCCAGATGAACTGATTTTCAAAGGGAAATGTATTCACGATTGAATAGAAAGCCCTAGCACTTTCTACTTTGTAGTAGGTGCCTGGTTTATATATGGGAGCCAGAGGGTTGGCTGCCAAAGATGGGGATGAGGAGAAACCAAGCAAGATTTGGGCAACAGTGTGGGTTTGTGGGATGCATTAGAATCTAGACAAAGCCTGTAGGAGACTGAGTGTTCCAAAAATGGCCTCAACAATGTCTCCTGTATTCACTTTTCTACGATGTGACGTTAACATTCTGTCCATCAAGCGTTAGGGTGTCTGATCCTTCCTTTGACTTTGGTGAAGTCCGTGACTGGCAGGAATAAAGGTGTGATAATTCTAAGATAGGTGGCAAAACTAAAGGTGATAAAGCTTCTGCTCAGCCCTCCTGGGACACATGATTTTGCAGACTTGGTTGCATGCCAAGATGGCGCGACTGTTTTCTGATCAGGCCTCCAGGACACTCAGCACCAGCCAGTGAGCTTGTTCTCACAACTGCCACCATATGATTCCTGCTTCTTGCTGTTGAGTTCCCTCCAGACTACTCCATGTATCCCTGAGCATAATCAAGTGCTTGATTTTAGTTCAGGCTGGCCTTGAACTTGCTATGTAGTCCAGGCTGGCTTCTAACTCAAGATTCTTCTGCCTCAGGCCCTGAGTGTTGGAATTACAAGCAGGTGCCCCTATGCCTGGCTTCAAACATTATTGTTTTATTTCACTTAAAATGTCTTCATTTCAAATGGTAAAACTACCAAGTTTGGGGTAATGTGTGATAGAGCAGTAAATGACCAGAATAAGCTCCAGACTTGAAAATAAATTAGTCACCTTCTCCACATACCAGGCACATCCAAATATTGCCAAGAAAGCATAATAATGGAAGATACGCTGGAAAGCAGATAAAATGCGCATCTCTCCATTTTTATGGTGCTTGGATTCAGTCTAGATTAAGGTGACTTTGTGGGGTGGGATGGTGCCCTCCTGTAATCCCAGCCCTTGGGAGGCTGAGGCAAGATCACCACAAGTTCAGGGCGAGAACTATATAGCAAGACCCTGTCTCAAAAAAAAAAAAAAAAAAGCTGAACCTGAAACGGAGTCAACAGACAAACAAAAAATCTGAAACTGTAGTACAACCATCCTCTGAAATAGAGAGAGAGGGAGAGACAGAAAGAGTCTAATTTATGTAATTAGACTAACTACAGATAAAGCTTTAAAGAATGTGGCTTGACTATTCAACATGAATATAGGAAGAATATGAGCAATCACCCTCATCGTAACTGAGAAAAGTTTGAGAATAATGAAAAGGAAACAAAACAAAAGTTATATTTCTATCTTTATTGTGGCTTTATAGACAATGTCTGTAAGTAAATTTTTTGAAGGGCGTTGAAATAAGCAGAAATAGACTCATAAGAGAAAATACAGTCAACGAAATTAAACTTAGATATGTAAATGTAGAATATATAGATAGGAATTTTAACAAAAGTATTATAAACATATGCAAGCATAAATAAAGCATGAATGTAATAGGTGGACATACATAATATTTCAGGAAATAGAAACATCAAAGAGAAACATACATTTAGAACTAAAAAAAATTTTTTTGTAAAAAGTACAAGATCAGCAATAAATATTGTAGCAGTTGGGCTCAACAGTGGATTGCAGAGTGCAATTAAAGAATTAATGAACTTGAAAATTCAATATAAATTGACCCAGAGAGAAAAAGAGTGGGAAAAAACATCAGTGTGCCAGCACCCTAGGGCTAATACCATACATGCAAAGAAAATGCTATCTGACTTTTCATCAGAAAGACTGCAATATATGATGGAACAGTATCTCTATGGGCTACAGTCTTTTTAAAAAAATTAAATTCTTTTATTGGTACCTTTTAGGTATACAACACAATTACATTTCTCATTGGGAATTGTACCTTTACATAATGCATCTTATTTTTTCCCCATTCCTAGCCCTCCCTTCACCCCCTCCACCCTTCCCTATTTACAAAGACTTTATTTCCATTTCTCAGCATTTTTCCTTTCCCTTCTTTCCTTTCCCCTGCCCTTCCCACTACCCCTACCCCTTTGGATCTTTTCTTCC